TAAGTGTCCAGTTTTAGGGTCTTACACAGAATTAAACCAAACAACATGAATCAAACATGCACTTTATTTATTTCCATTAAATAACAAAAGTACATCAAATCGAATTGAAGCTAAGGGCATACAAAACTGTCTAACATGCAAACCATTGCCCTATCTTTCAAAGATCCCTCCAAGTGTTTATCTTACACTTCGGTGTTCTGCTTCCCTAGTTCATAATTTGATTGAAGCATCTAAATCCCAATTTCATTGATGATATTCATGATGGTTTCCGTTGGTCATGTCAACGTCTATGGTTTGACCTGCGTCAGAAATTTTGTTGGTTATGTTAGCCTCTATGCTTTGACCCGCGTTAGAAATTCCATTGGTCATGTCAGTCCCTATGTTTTGACCCGCGTAAAAAATTTCGTTGGTCATGTCAGATTCTATGCTTTGACCTACATTAGAAAATTCCGTTGGTCATGTCAGCCTCTATACTTTGACCCGCATCAAAAAATTCTGTTGGTCATGTCGGCCTTTATACTTTAGCCCACATCAAATGAAAATCTAGGAATACTTCCACTTTGTATAAGAATGTTTGGTGGATGTGAATCACACAATTGCTTACAAATTTCTTACAAATAGTCCGGGCTAATTAAATGCCTTCAGTGTCCATTTCGTCTTCACATGACTTGTAATCGTCGTCATCATCATCAGCCTCATCTTCATCATCTTCTTTCTGATGCTGGCCTTGGATATCATCTGCCTTGGCGTACCGGGTACAGTGCTCTGTTGCCATGAACAAGGAAAAGGATTGACATCAAGAATTTTTATCTTGCCTGGAAATGCAGTAGGAATGTAGCACTTGTAGGATGCTTTAACCTGAACGATTGGGCGGGCGGTCATCTTAGATCCTGACCATCCATTAGATTAGGAACTTGCAATTTATTTTCCGAATGTGACTATGTACAAATGAAAGTTGTCAGGGACCTTTAGTCGGAGCAACTTGGTTCTTTTTCTTCCATGGCCTCAGGCCCTTAAGTTAACCTATATCGTCTAGCTTTGCTGGGCTTTGGTTGTTTCTTCTCGTCACAAGGGCTTTGAGGCCATTAATGTGCATGAGTAAGAAGTATCAAGTTGTACACTTGTCTTACCTTTGACTATTTGCTCGTAAATCGGCGGGTCCCTCATCATCAGAAATGCAGCTTCATCGTTCAGGGGATCCGTGGGATTTGGGTAGAGCAAAAGCTGGGGAAGAAAGACTGGCATTCAGGGGATCCGTGATCCGTGGGATCACGTACTCAGGATTCGCAAGGGATTACCCAAAAATGGTAGGGATTATGTGGGTGAGAGTAGGCTGGCATTGAGAAAAATGGTTACCGAACATAGGGCTCCAGGTTTGGTTGATAACATCAAGGCAGACGGAACCTGACCTGTTGAAGCAGATACATAAAGATGCAAATATCATATAAGAGATGCAGATTTAGATGATAATTGATAAAAGTAATCAAGCAAAACCGGAGAGGGGATTGAAATTATTCACATCTCGTCGATGTTAGGGTGGTAAATGCGGTTGACGAAGACGATGGATGGAGATTTATATGGGTAAGCATCCGGCAGCTGTACCCTCACCTTCCACACTCCGCCGCTGTACAAACCTGTGATTTTGATTTCTATCATAAGCATCGTAATAACCTTTTTTCTTTGAAACCCAGCCAAAAAATCAATCAATCAAAGGACCAACTGAGGGGTAGTTAGTTGGTTTGTTAGCTGGAATCGATTCCCACAACCATGATTTGGGGAAATATGGAAGAAAAAAACATTAAGTATACATAGTGCTAAAATAACACTGTTTATCTACGTGTATTTCTATGCTCAATGCGCACCGTCCATCAGGTGACAGATGGACAAAGGACATTGAGATAGAGATTTTGATCTAACTATAGTCTTTTCCAAGGCCTACGATCGGATCATTCACTTCAAAAGAGATTTTGATCTACCTGTACTTTGGGCCTAATGCCACTTGGTCGCTGAGTTTTAAAATGCGACAATTTAGTACCTGTTTTCAAAACGTGCCAATGACATGTGCGATTTAAAAATTTTGAAATTGTCTAAATTACCTTTCGAAACATTGTTCATTATCTTCTTCCCTAGGAATTAAGATTGAACCAAAGCAAAGGTGAACAATCCCAAACCACTGGGGCTTCAATACTTGTCACATTTGTTAGCTGAGGGGAGTTATTTGGTTTTTATAGGAGATGGATATCATTCCCTTGCAAAATTGTACAAAAAACTTAATACCTCTATTTCATATTCTCGAGGAAGAAGACGACGAACAATATTTTAGTTTTGAGGAGCGCATTTGGAAGGTTGATAAAGAAAATCAGATGACACCCAAAAGGCATTTGTATCTTTTCACATGCCATTTAACGGCTGGTTAACAACAGGAATTGGATTGGCACATTTTGAAAGTTCAGATACTAAATTGTTACATTTTAAAGTTTGGGGACCAAAATGGTAGTAGGCCCAAAGTACAGGATACTAATCAATAATTTCCCCTTTTTTGTATTATTTTATACGTATTTGTATTGTACATATTTGTATTTATACTCTTTCCAAACAGAGCCTTAGGTTGTGTTTGGTTGCAATGCAAATAAATTTGCACTGATGCAAAACCATAGCAGTGCAAATGATTTGAGTGTAAATTCTGACCTATTTTTGCTTCAAATTTTAACTTATTTTGTTTGATTGCAGTACTGAAGTATTGGAACAAGAATAAAGTAAAATCTAAAACAAAATTAAACAAGAAATCGCATTTTTTTTTCATTTGCACTCCCATACATTTGTACTAATGCAAATAAATTTGTACTGCAACCAAATACAACCTTAAGCACAGTTTGTAAGGAATGCAAATACAAATATGAAGAGTGCACAACTTTGTATTTTGTATTATTTTGTATGTATTTGTAATGTAGATATTTGTATTTATACTCTTTCCAAACTGAGCGTTGGTGTCTTATTTAGTTAGCTTCAGGTAGTCTTAGGTGATGTTTGGCATGGATGTCGATTTCTAAGAAAATGGCACCACATCAAAGAAAGCGGTGCTTCAGAAAACACCCTCTTGTTTGGTATAGTTTTTCTAGAAAAAAAAACGTTACTCCAGACCATGCCTTAGAAATCAAGAAAGTGTGGTCTGGAGCAACGCCAAATTCAATGTTTTCTAAGAAAATGGCGTGTTGATGCCAGCAATGCAATGATGTGGCATTATCTTGGACATTGGATAATATAGACCAATGTTAAAAACGGTTCTACAACATTAGTACCAAACAAAACCAGAATTGTTTTCTCAGAAAATAGCATATGTGGCAACACCAATTCCAAACAAAAAATAAGCATCGTTTTCTCATGCCCAACACCGTTTTTATTAGGGATGCAAGCGGATCGGATCATATTCGGATTAGGGTATGTTCAAATCTGATTCGATATTGTTCATGTTGGATCCTATCCGATCGGATTTGATGGGACTCGATTTGAATTGGAATCCTATCGGTAAGTCGAATCTTTGGATTTGATCCGATCTTACCTATTTTCCTTAAAAATAATAAATTATTAAAAGAAAAATAAAATATACTAATTTAAATAAAATAAAAACAAAAATACAAATATATTTTTAATTATTTTCACCATATATATACATGTTTTTTATAAAAAAAATAATATAATAAATTTATAAAAATATAATATAAATCAGATAGAGGTAATCCAAATCCGGTCCAATTTCTAATAGGATCCTATAATCTGATCCAACTAGGGGTGATCCGAATTCTTCCAAAGAGGATTGGATCTTGGATCAGATCGGATTGATCCATTTGCACCCCTAGTTTTTATAAGAAAACATTGCAGTGTTCCCAGCACCGGTGCTAAATGCCCACTTAATTTGATTTTAGGTTGTATACTTGTGTTATTGATTGTTTGTTTTCTTTAGTTTGTTGTTTTCTTGTTGCCTTTGTATCTTTCCTTCACAAAGTAGTCTTAGTTTGGTTTTAAATTTGTTGTTTGTAGTTTGTTTAGAGGTGTAAACCAGACTGTAAAACCCGTGGCCTGGCCCAACATGGCCCAACACGACCCATATATATTATTTATATTATATATAATATTATATAAATTATAATTATATAATAATATAGTGTATAATATATTAATAAAATAAACAATTATTTTCAATTTTATTATACTAATTTATTTAACTAATGTATATATAAGCAATTGTATACATTAAAATTCATATAAAATTAAAATTTTAATTTTTTTTCAATTATTTTAAATAAATAGGTTTGACTCGACCCATAACCTGACCTGACCCAAGACTTGACCTACAGGCCAGCCTGATCCGTGGCACAATATGTATAAACTTGGGCCGTGGGCTGTAACGGGTCAAACCCCAAAATTATCCCAAGAGAAAACGGCACGGCCCGAAATGACCCACGGACCGGCACAACACGGCCCGCGCTTTGCGCGTACCGCCCGCGGTTACACCTAAGTTTGTTTTCTCTCGTTTGCTGTTTTATTGTTGCCTTTGTATCTTTCCTCCTTGTGAATGTGTTGTGAGGGTATGGCTACTAGGTGATTGGTGAACCACATGGTTGCGGGGAATGTGGACTCCACGTGGTTGCAGAGGAAATAACAGGTAAGCACATTACCATTTCAGGTAATAAAAAAAGGTTGCAATGATAAAGAGAAGATTCCGTTCCAATGAAACGCAAATCCTACCATATACAATGCCGATGCTTGCGTTGACTTCACGTAGAATCCATAAAAGTTTAAAGCAAAATATTACTTCTAAAAGATACTTATTAAAACATTTTAATTTGCAAAACTAATGATCGAGTTAAATTAATAAAAAAGAAAATACTTTTTAAATTTTTACCCATTTATATGTTACCTGTACACGTGCTTTACACAGAACAAGTTGCACCAATGTCACAAGCAATAAGTTGGAATAGGATTAAGGGTGCTCACAGTTAGATTAATCGAACTGTGGACCTACTTTTTAAATGGAATTGGTATCATTTGTTTTTGAAAAACCTTGAATCAAAACCAATTGATTAACGGGTTCATCAGTCTGGTTTTTGATAAATTTTATTATTTTCGGTTTTTTGATATTTATAATATATATTATAAATAAATAGACAAATTTCTTAAATTATCTTTATAGTTTAGTTAATTGCCTAACTCTATTCTTATTATTTACATGTTGTTTAAAGTATCCTTAAGTTTTTTAACAAATGATATCGTTATTAAGTACTAATTAAAAAAAATGAAATGTTAAATTTATCTTCTATTATTTTTCAAAAATTTAAAGTAAAATTCAATTGTTAAAATTTTCAAAAATATAATTTATTCTAAACTCGCCGCACAACGACCAGAAGTTGCGTTTGACAGTTGGGCATAAGGATTTGACCCAATTAAGAAGATCGTTGGGCATGAGGAAGGGATGCTGAGATAGGGGTTTGCCGCTGAGAAGCTCCAGCAAGAGAATCCCAAATGAATAAACATCGAATTTTGGGGTTTGCAATCTGTGTTCATTTTTTATTTTCTAATTTTCTTTTTGGGTTATTCTACCCTTATTTTTTTACTCAGATGAAATTGATAATGATCATAAATTACCTGAGACAGCGATAAGAAAAATTAGGGAGGTTTAGGTTCATGGCTTATGTGTTTTTCTTGGGTTTGGAGATGGAGTAATGAGAAGATTAGGAATAAGAGGCAAGGAATAAGCGACACATGGAAGAGATGTATCGGAATTATTTTGCTTTTAAGCTCCAAGTGTAGAAAAAAGTTCTGATTTCCCAAAGCCCTTTGGATCCCTTGTAGATCTTTTGCTAAGATGATATTTTATGTACTCGACTGAAACTCAGATTTTGGAAAGAGAGAAATGAGAATTTTCTAGTAACCCAGCTGAACCATAGACTTGACAGAACCGAGCTGAATCATAAAGCCAATGGAAGAAGCCTCTGAGATTGAGAGAGGGAAAGAGAATGAAAGAGTTGCGCCAAAACGGAGGGAGAGATAAGCCTTTGCAATTTGCTAAGATGATATTTTATGCAMTCGACTGAAACTCAGGTTTTGGAAAGAGAGAAATGAGAATTTTCTAGTAACCCAGCTAAAACATAGATGATTCTTGACAGAACCGAGCTGAATCATAAAGCCAATGCAAGAAGCCTCTGAGAATGAGAGAGGGAAAGAAACTGAGAGTTGCGCCAAAACGGAGAGAGAGATAAGCCTTTGCAATCAGGGGCATAACAGATGAAACAAGAACAGAGATAACATACCAGACAATGCCATAAGAACCTCTTTTGACAGGCCGTACCGGCAGAACATACTTAGTACGGACTTCGAAAAGATTCCCCTAGACATTGTACTAAATATATTGACTTCCAGAGTGAGTATTCCCCAGCTAAAGCAGTACCACCTCTGTAGACATGACCGCACAGAATGAAGACTCTCAGAGATCAAAGAAAAAGACTTTTCTCTGATTTCTTCCCAGTTGAGCTTAGGGGAGAGCTATCAGTAGTCTCTTATATGACGAAGAAATTTCTTGTGTTTTATCTTTTGACTTCTGAGCTTAAACGGAACTTTCCATCCCACAAGCCCTTGAAAAATCCATGAAAACTCCAGTTCAGACGTCACCCTTACTACTTATTTTGCTCTTCTCTCCGTAGTCATACTCGGGAAGAAGAAAAACTCCAGTAACGGAAAGGGTATTAGCATCATTTTTGTTAAAATATAAGTCACATGGTGTGATATGTGAGAGGATTGTGACGGGTGAAGGAGTAATCAGTTAATTATTAAAAAACTTAGGGTACTTTAAGTMAACATGTAAACAGTAAAAATATAGTTAATCAATTAATTAAACCATAAGATAGTTTAAGAAATTTATTGTAAATAAATATATAAATATATAATAAAAATACTAAAAATATATAATGTATATGTATTCATTTATAATATATAAATTGGTTAATTGCCGATTTTTTATATTTATTAATCAAAACCAAATCAATACTTTCAAATTTTCAAAATTATTGAATCAAATTAATCAGAATTTTCGCTTCAATTTCATAAGTTCAATTTAATTTTTGTTTTTTTTGACATGTCTACAATGGGACATAAACAAGAGTTGCATGAATGTTCCGAGTTTCCTTCCCCTCTGAAAGGGAAGGAATGATCTAGAGATAGACTTTCATTGGAAATCGGATTTGGTTCTCACAAAATTGTGTTTACAGCGTTCTCCAGTCCTTTTCAGCCCTGCATTGAAAACATCTTCTCAAAATCACATATGCGGACACTTCACATGTTATGGATGCATGCAATCATAGGCAGCAACACTTAGGAGATGCACGCACCATCCGGTAGCAACACTAGAGAGGGGCCCACACGACAGCTCAATAGGGTGGGCCCACACTTATCTTGCCACAACAGCTCTGCTCGCCAATTCGCCGCCAGCTGTATTATCCCTCATCCTTTATCCTTATCTTATCTTATCTTTTTAGTAAGAGTTCTGTTTGCCACTAGAAGTAAGAGTTGTGTTACCATTAGAAGTAGGTAATTTATTTAGAAGTAGGAGTTGAGTTTAATATGGATTACCCTAGCCTAGCCGAATCCAACAAGGAATCCCCCCATGACGGTAGGCTCTGATACTAGAATGTTATGGGCCCGGGCGTAGGATCTCATCATGGGTCGGTCCACCGGGAGAGACTCCTGCTTTCCCTTGTCATTTCCCTTGCGTACAGACCTTATTGTGGCAACCGAGTGGGTGATTTGTCCAAGAGATCACCCGAACTCTCGTTACACATTTCTTGGTCAAAAAACTGAATGCYTTTATTTCAACTCATAACTCCTTAAATAGAAGATTACAAAAGGGGATTCCTTGTTGGATTCGACTAGGCTAGGGTAATCCATATCAAACTCAACTCCTATTTCTAAATAAATTACCTACTTCTAATGGTAATACAATTCCTACTTCTAGTGACAAACAAAACTCTTACTAAAAAGATAAAATAAGATAAAGATAAAGGATGAGGGATAATGCAGCTGGCGGCGAGTTGGCAAACAGAACTGTTGTGGCAAGATAAGTGTGAATCCATCCTGCTGAGCTGTCATGTGGGCCCCTCTCTAGTGATGGTGCGTCCGTCTCCTAAGTGCTGCTGCCTATGATTGCGTGCGTCCATAACACCACATACATATGTCAACATACATGGGGAACATCTCCCGAAGTTTTCAGCACGACTGAAAATGGCCGTGAGATCGATGTAAACACAATTTTGTGACCTGTTAGCACTGAATCCGCCCTCCTTTCATCATTTCATGGAAGACGTAGCCATATTATTCACCATCAAATGCACCGTTAGAGTTTTTATTTTTCCTCCTCTATAAACTCTATTTTTTTGCTAACTTCTCCTCTATAAACTCATAGTAGCAGAAAAGGGAAAGGCGGAAAGCCGAAGGCGAAGCGTTTTTCCATCTTACTGTTAGGGGGACCGTTGAATTCAACAATGAACTCGCTCACGGAGTCCTTAACCGTCTCCACTTTATGATCTGTCATCATCCTGTTATCAACACAATCCTCAACACCCTACAATTGTCTATAGATTCCAGTATCCAGAAGGGAGAGAAGAAAAAAAAGTTTTATGTTAGACTTACAGCTTCATGACGTCCATGTCTCTTCGTTTGCTGGGTGAACACATCTCTCTAACTTTCTTTCTTCAAATCTTAACGCAGTTTATCTATCTGAGTTCTTCTTCACCAATTTGGGAAACCTACTGCCTTGTGGAGACACAAACCAGAAATATAGTTCAGAATATTAGAAAGAAACGATGAATTTCTAATCACCAGGAGCTTTTGAAGTTCGTTTTCATTATTAAAGTTCTCACCAGCCACCCCCCTAACCATCCAAAACTCATTTGCACGCAATTATTAATTTATTATATGGAAAAAGCAAGAAAACGGAGGTCACATCAGTGGAAGAAAATTTAAGTTTTCAGGGTCGGACAATAATCAACATCTGAAAAAAACAGCGCAACCAGAGTTGAGGGGAAACGGAGGAAGAACTTACCTCGAACTCGAATTGCAACCAACTTCGATAAATAGCAGAAGACGAATAAATCAAGAAAAACCACCTAAAGCCCGCTGAGCAATGTTTTTTTTAGGGATCGCCAAAGATATTGCAAAACGTGAATATAAAGCAAGTGAAGCGAAGGAAGATGGAATAAGAAGCGTAGTAAATTACCTGAATAGCCCTCTGTCGATCTGTCTCTCGGAACCGTAATTTTGGTCGGGAAAACTTCCCACTCTGGGCAGGAAGCGTGATGCCACGACATCAGGTTAATGAGACTCGATATGCTCCTTACACATGGCGCCTCACACCGATATCAGAGAGTCACAGGCACATTTCACCGTGCATTGACAATATCTACCGTACTAGGTCGTTGCGAAGCGCCCTTCGTGAGGAGCAGATTCCAACTCGGCCATAAAACGTCGGTTGCATTTTTCTAAATTTTTTGCTTAAAATTTTATGCTCATCTCCCTTTCCTCCCCCCGGTCTCGTTTGGTGGAGAAATAAAACCATAATTCGCTAGAGTGTACCTTCTCTTGGATGCGTGGAAAAACAAAACCATCAGTCGCCAGAAAACAGAAGGTGTGCACCTTTTTTTTCTTGCTGTTTTCTGAGCGGAGGACACAGTCATAATCTTGTCAATTAGATTAGATGAGGTCTAGGTAGCAGAACGAAATTGTACATCGAGATCTGCAACCAGGAGAAAGGTCAGAGGCCCAAAGAGTTATTCTACGGGTAGGTATTTTGATGCTTAAGTTAATAGGATCGAGAAGGATGTCGCTGGGCTGAGCAGGTTGAAATAGTATTGGTCCGGGCTGAAGAGGTAGTGCAAAGARGTATTCAAAGAGTGAAGTTCCAAGTCCCTTACCTCGAGCGGGGAATACCTATTTATAGTTGGGTGTTCGTGTTCCAGATGGATAAGGCTCTTGGATTTATCGAGATGAGGGTGTCCGTCGAGGTCTTCGGGAGGTTTCCTTTTCCCCGGTGGAGTTTGCTTCATTGTCTGTATGGGACACTCCTTCTTAGTTGTGCTCTTCCGTAACGCGTGGCGTTGACGGGCCTGAGAGGGGAATGGCTACATGGCATCCTTGGCTAGCTCAACCATCACCTAAACACCACTCCCCCTATTCCGAAGTCGAGGAGCGTAATGCTCGACTATGACTGGGCGTGGAAGAGTTCTACGGTCCTTGGTTGAGGAACTCTAGTTTATTCGAGTTGATTGACTCAGGGTAAGACCAGTTCATGGGGCGAACTGGATTGTTCAACGCTTGTGCCATTTCCATTACAGGTCGATAGACGTGTCGTTTTGTCTTCCTGAGGTCACATGTGTGCAAAGTGTGGCATCGAATTGGCGTCGTTGATTTGAGCATATTTGGACCGTTAGTCCTCCCTATAAAAGGGGAGGTGGTGAGCCATTTTACTTTGTCATTTTGAGTGAGTGATCATAGGAGCTCGACGAGAGTTAGTCCTCGACTAGTGCTTTAGGTGTCCTACGGTGTAACTGTTCGGTAAGATGTCTTCATCTTCCTTCTCATCTTCTTGTTCTTCCTCTTTGTCTAGCTCTTGCATATTGGGTAGTGAGTCCGAGACAAGGTCTCACCCCGAGGCCACCATGCTTGTAGATCGCGAAACTGGTGCCCATAGGGCTGAGGTCGATGGGCCTGAGGGTGAGGGTGTTGTGGCGGAGGAGGCCGTGGCCCTTTGGGAGGCTGAGGTCGGGGAAACTGACGAGGCCGAAGTGGACATTATGTTAGAAGAGGGGCTTGACGCTCCTGCGCAGTTCGATAGCCACTTTGCGTCTTTGCCTTGTGGGTTGACACCCGAAGACCTGGCCTGAATTAGGGCCCTTTACTGCATTCCTGAGGAGTACGAACTTAGGTGCCCTAGCATCAGTGAGAGGTCTACCTCAGCTTGGCTGGGGGAACTTTGCATCTATGAGCACAACTTGATAGCCGGGTTGAGATTTGCATTGAGTAAGGGAATCGCAACGGTGTTGAGGTGGTACCGCGTCCAACCAATCCAGTTGATGTCTAATTCCTTTAGATACTTGGTTATCCTCCTTTGTTATTGCTTGGTTCACAACGTGGATATCACCCTGCCAATGTTCACATACTTTCTATACCTGAAGAAGCACAAGCAGGGCTATTATTACATCTCGGCTCGGTAACACAATAAGGTGCTCGTTGGAGCCCCTCCTTAGTGAAACAATGGAAGGAGGGGTTCTTCTTCATGTGTTGCTCGGGGGGCTGGCCATTCCCCGCCGAGTTGTCAATCTTGAGGACCAAGGTGAAGGCGCCGATAGAGGTCGAGCTGTCTAGGGAGGAGTTAGCGGTCATTAGGCAGATAGAGGCCCCACCTGGTCTGTCCTTGCTTTTGTGTCTTTCTTCTTGTTTCATTTCTTCGGCTTTGACTGACTCATTCTGTTTAGCAAATATGGCGGTCGTTGACGAGGAGGAGAGAACAAGACACATGCAGGCTATCGTGCAGAGGAGGGCGGCGGCCTAGGCTGGGGCGGCTCAATAGAAGCGCCGCTCCAATATTGTGACTCCTCGGAAACCTAAGAGGCCGAGGCCTATTGAGGGAGACATGGTGGATATCGGCTCTGATGGGTCTCCATCRCATGCTGGGCCATGGTCCACGCCACAGGAAAGTCTTGAGGTCCCGTCGAGTCTAGCGGAGCCTGCGTTCGAGGTATACAGGCCAAATTGGAGTGTCCAACCCGAGGACACTCTAGAAACTAAGGGCATGCTTGAGCAGTTGGCTAGGGGCATTCTGCTGCCTGGTATTCGTAGGGAGACCAGTGATTGCACGAGCGGGGTATTGGAGAGTGCAACCATTAGGGAATCCATCACGGTAAGACTCTTTGCACTACCTTTTCTGATCTTCGGTGTGATTTTCGTGCTCATTGACTTACATGTTTCTTTTGTAGGTTGTCTANGCACGAGCGGGGTATTGGAGAGTGCAACCATTAGGGAATCCATCACGGTAAGACTCTTTGCACTGCCTTTTCTGATCTTCGGTGTGATTTTCGTGCTCATTGACTTACATGTTTCTTTTGTAGGTTGTCTATGCGGTGACGACATTGGTTGACCGGATGCACGCCATATGTCAGATGGCCGAGGCTCAGGAGGGCGAGTTCTCCCATCTACAGGCAGAGATGGATGAGCTGAGGTAAGCGGTGGCGGCCAAGGATGAAGAGTTGGAGCGTCTGAAGAGCCGTGCTCATGAGCTCAAGGGGGTTCGCGACAAGGCATGAAAGGCGGCCGAGGAGACGGAGGAAAAGCTACTTTGTGCCGAGGAAGAAGCGGTGGTGAGGTACAAGGAGTCTGAGGAATACTAGATTGCCCTCGATGACTTTGCCATGGATTCCTAGCAGACTGGTTTGGCTCACTATCAAAGGAGAGTGATGTGCGATCACCTTGCGATCGCCATGACAATGTGGCAGTACATTCCTTTCGATGCTGAGGAGCCRTCAACTAAGTAGTCCACCTTGAACGACAATGCAACAACTCCCAAGGAGGTGGTCCCTGCGGATAACACGACTGACCTAGATTAATGTTCTCTTTTTTTTTCTTTTATTGTACATTATACGAAGCTTATAATCATTGTATCAACMTTTTTATTAATGGAAGTTTGGTCCTTTTGTCGAGCATGTTTTGTTGGTTGGTAGGGACCATAGGCTGTACTTCTATACTTGCTCTTGATCTTTGGCTCTATGGCCTCGGTCTTGGGCTTGCTGCTAGATGGCTGGGGTCTTTGACTTCATGGCCACGGTCTCATGCTGGTTATCTAGTGGTTTTATTTCTCCATCTGACACAACTTGGAGGTGGAGAGGGAATTGGAGATGAGCCGTGAGCACAGAAAATGGAAAAGATGAGAGGAAAAAGAAAGCATGCTTTTCCAAAAGATTTGTAATTTCTTAAATTAAAAAAAAAGCAATTGACATTTTTTTTGCCACCGTTTATGTGATGTCGTGGCACCATGCTGTGCATTCTAGGCAAGAAAATTTCCCCACCCATAAATGTTCAACTCCAAATTTCCATAAATGTACCATTTATAAAAGTGATGATTGTAACAATTGTTTAATAAAAAAGCTTGATTTTACTTTTTCTTTTTATCTTCTACAACTTTTGTTTTTCAAAGAGGATGTATACACCGTTTATCAAAGTTTTTCCAACGACAAAATTCTGAGAATGCAAATTGTTAACATGGTTGTATCTTGATTTTACTTTCCATCTTTTTCTTTTTTTTTTTTTCACTTCATGCGGCTACACAACAGGGGGTAGCCCATCCCCTTTCCCTTAACAATTTTTGTTTTTCAATGTTATTTTTTTGATCGTTCAAGTATTTGATCTATCATAAACGACCACGTACACACTCTGGTGTGATCATGTTGTTACCTACTATTTTCTTTTAACTCATTGCAACTAGGGGTGATCATGGACTGGGCCAGGCTTTGCACTTATGATAAGGGCTATAGCTTAGGCCCCGGGCCCAGCCCGGCCTGAGGTTCCGGGCTTGTAACATAAGCCCTAGCCCAGGTCTACATAGGCCTGGGCTTGACCGGGCCTGATTCTAGGCCAATGTCTTTCATATATAAAACATTACATACCTATAATATTTTTTATTAAATGACATAACATGCATTAARCTTTTATTTTATATATTATATAATATAAAATATTACATATAATATAAATTATACATATCATGTGATAATATTTATACATAAAATATATAATATAATGTAAAATAACTTGTATACATATACATACATTATACACAAAATGTGTAAGTTTAAATATATGCGGGCCGGGCCCGGGCCGGGCTTGAAGTATTAAATCCAAGCTCAGTCCTAAAATTTGCGGGCCTGATGTGGGCCTAGGTCCGGGCTAGGCCTGAACACAAAACCCAGGCCCAAGCCCAGAATTTCTGAGCCGGGCCAGGTCGGGCTGAAATGATCACCCCTAATTGCAACCATCCAAAAATTCTCATCAATTACACAAATGACACTTAAGGACTGCTAAATGGTGGCTGGAGATCCCATAACCAATAATTTATCATTATTTATGTTTTCATATATCAATCAA